CATAGAGCAAATGAAAGATGAGAAAAGAAAAGATGTGGCTTGGCAAGGGAAATGCTCTGGCGCAGTGTATGTCAGTAGTTGTTAGTTACTATGAAAATTAATGTTGAACTACTTATCAACACACACATATGTGTGTCTGTATAGGATTTTCAATTGTAAGACATCCTGAATATCATGGATGACCACAGGCCATTAATTGCATGGGGAAGTCTATGTGATTGACGGCTTGAGTCTTTGTTGAGGGATCTTCTGCATCTTTGTCATGCACAAGCGAAACACACCCATGTGTGTGTTAGATTGTATAGATTGTATCGATTGTATCTATTTCTGTGCTTGAGCCTGGTTGTTTCTTGGTTCGTGTTTGCAGCTACATTGGAGGAAGTGAGTGTGAAGGACATTTTTCTTTAATTAACGAGGCATGCTCAATGTAAGTAAGATTTTTTTTTACATCTGTGAATAGCCTTTTTCTTATTGCTATTCTTATTAGGGTGTTAAACTTATTTTGCTTAGAACTTGGGGTGCAGAAACAGCCATACCCCATATATATTTATAGGATATACCACTGAAAAAATAATTACAGGGTTCTACATTTAATGTTTCCTGATAAATTCTACACTTGTGCCGGGTTTCACAAACAAGTGAATGCCAAACTCCTTTGCATCCCCTCCACCCCTGCCTAAAAAGAAAAAAAAAAAATTGTAGTACTGAAACATCAGAAAGATGGGTGAATTGGTGATTTTCGTATAAGCATTGAGTTTGCACTGGCTTTATGATTCAACTTCTTAGATGTCTTAAGTTTTAATCAGGTACATTGTTTACATTGACACCAATGGGGTTATGTGTGTCCAAGACAAGATTGCCTGTTACAGTTCTTTGCTTTATAGCTAGGGTACCATATTTATTATATCTGATAAGATCACTTCCTCTCCAATCTCCACCCCTTCCCATGTATTCATGTTTTACCTCTTGTTTGAACTTGCTTGGTTTTGGCTTTCAGGTTTGCACATACCAATCCATTGCATATGGATGTATTCCAGAGTGTGGTACGGTTTGAAGCAGAAGTGGTTGCAATGACTGCTGCAATGCTTGGAAGTAAAAAGAAGTCTTCTGGAGGACAAATATGTGGAAACATGACATCAGGAGGAACTGAAAGTATATTATTAGCTGTGAAATCATCACGAGATTATATGAAAACCATGAAGGGGATTAAAAAGCCTGAAATGTATGTCATGTTACACTTATCAATACTAACTGTTGTAGCATGGAGAGTATTAATGCAACCTATTTTATTTTCAAGCGCAGGATAATACCTGAATCTGCTCACTCAGCATACGACAAGGCTGCACAATATTTTAACATCAAGCTCTGGCGCGTCCCTGTAAATAAAGAATTTCAAGCAGACGTCAAAGCAATTAGAAGATACATTAATAGAAACACCATTTTGGTATGCAATTAATGTATTGATTTTGCTCCTTTCATATTTTCCCCTGTATCTCTGATAGTATATTCTATTAAAATTTTGTTATTCTCATTAGCTCAAGAGAAAAAGGGAAAAAAAAAAATTCTCCATTTAACCCATTGTGCAACATGGGTGATTTTCCTAACTTCAAGTTCTCTGTTTGCCAGTTAAACTGACCTATACTTTTGTGATGCTGCAGATTGTTGGATCTGCACCTGGTTTCCCTCATGGCATTGTTGATCCGATTGAGGTATTTTTTTATAGGTGGTTTTTATGGATAAATTTTTGGAAGATGACGTGATCTTAGCTTTAGTGATGTTCTCTTATCTTAAGAACCTTGAACTGAGAATATACGGGAACTTCTTGTACAGGAGCTTGGTCAATTGGCTTCAAGCTTCGACATTTGTCTCCATGTTGACCTTTGTCTTGGCGGCTTCGTATTACCTTTTGCTAATAAGCTTGGGTATGTCTGGGTTGGTTCTGCTAGCAAAAGTTGTTTCTAATTTTGGCAATTAATTTTATTGTGTACCATGTAGATGTCTTACTGTTGGGAGTATGGTCCTTTACTTTACAAGTCTTTTAAACTTCTTGTGTTCCAAAAGTTAATGAGTTGCAGCCTTGAAGGTACCATGGTGTTAACTTGATGAATTTGAAATTTGCTAACCACATTAGATTGGTCAATTTTCTTTTACCGTATGGTGATTAAGCAAATGTGTTGAGTTTAGTGTTGCACATGATAATCGTAGTTTATTCTCTTGGTTTTACAATTTAGAGCTATTGGTAGCTGTAACTACTTTGTATAGGTTGGCACTTCGGTAATTTTAATTGATATTAGATGGTTCTTGTTTTTAGAATTTGATATTAGAGAGTTTATGGTATAAAATAGTTGGTAGGTGTTACAGTTTCCATACACATGTCCATATGTCATCTTTTTGGATATATATATATATGTATATATATATATATGTATGTATGTATGTATGTATGTATCCTGAAATTAGATGGGTGTTCTTTTTTGGAAATTATAATTTCTTATTATTAACTCATCTTTCTCAACTGTTTGTTTTCAGGTATCCAATTCCACCCTTTGATTTTTCAGTGAAAGGAGTGACGTCAATATCAGCGGATGTGCATAAATATGGGTTGGCTCCTAAAGGAACAAGTGTAGTTCTGTACAGAAACCATGACCTCAGAAAGGTTATCCATTGATGTTGGTCAAACTTTCAGAAAACATTGCTTTGCATTTGAATTTAGCCTTCCTAATATGCTTTTCTTTTCATTGCATATTGGTTCATCGGAATGCTGGGTTTATGGCTTTCTATTTTCCATCTCAGCATCAATTTGTTGCTGGTAAGTTTTCATCAGAAAAAAAATGAATATCCAGGCTGTCAACTGAATTGTTCATCTGTCTTGTTGCTGGAACTGATGTAATTTTGATGCGATAATCATTGCCAATTTTTGTGGTTTGCAGTTACTGAGTGGTCAGGAGGGCTATATGTGTCTCCAACCATTGCCGGAAGCAGACCTGGTGGTTTAATTGCTGGGGCTTGGGCATCTATGATATCTTTGGGGGAGGAAGGTAAGAACGTATTGGCCAGATGTTTCTACTAATCCAAATATTTTCAGCATATTCTTGGCTTGTGGCTGATTATGTTCCATTACATTCCAACATTCTGTAGGGTACTTGGAAAACACAAAAAAGATCATGGAAGTATCAAAAAGACTTCAGAAAGGGTATTGTTTTCTCTTCTTTTCTTTTTCTCCGTCTGAAAAGGGTGTCTTATTTGTTTGGTTATTTTTGTTTTCCTTTGGGGATTGGAAACAGGGGTATCGATCTTTTGATAATCTTTGTGTGCAGGATAGAGGAAATTCCCGAGTTGTTTGTCATTGGAAGGCCAGACATGACAGTTGTGGCATTGGGATCTAATGTTGTTGACATATTTGAAGTAAATGATATCATGTCATCTAAAGGCTGGCATTTGAATGCATTGCAAAGACCCAACAGGTAGGCTATTGTGTGTTTGTTCGCGTGGCTGCATGTGCACATACGTCTTCTTATAAAATAAAAAAAGTTATGCACAAAGTCATACTAGGCTATAGCCTCCTTTCTTTTTCCCATGTCAAAAAGTATCCACCACTAGTGACAAGTAGATTGTCTAATTTACTATTATGGAGTGTCAAATAAGGGGAGGCTTTCAATATGAATTGGATGGATGATTTTTGTGGGAAGGTATTCTGTTTTAGTGAATGACAGAAATGGCTTGTGCTCAGGTGCTGTCTTCATGATTAGTTCACAAATTCATGCGCATGAAACTTATTTGTTTTGTTTATTATGCTTGACTCAGCATTCATATCTGCGTGACACTTCAACACGTACCAATTATTGATGACTTTCTCAGGGATCTAACGGAATCTGTGAAAACTGTAAGTTGATTTTGAACTTAGCAAAATACCAGACCATATTTACCATTTGATTACACCCCTTTACTGTGTACCAAAAACCATTTATGTGTATTTTTATTAACTGTGACGTGACATAGGTTAAAGAAAATCCGGGTCCTATAAGCGGAGGGCTCGCTCCCATTTATGGTGCTGCAGGGAGGATGCCAGATAGAGGTACGGTTCAGGAGCTGTTGGTAAATTACATGGACGGTGCATTCTAGTGGTGCTCTCCAAATTTTTTCTCATAGAATTCTTTGGTCAAGTTGTAAGAAAAATGTTGTTTTTGAAAAGACCACAAGTTAAAAGAAAAATGAAAATCCATTCGTTGATTTTCTCCAATATTACTTGATGTTCTTGCCTCGGGTTTGATTTAAGGATTCATTGTCTAAATCCACGATATATACGTGTATTTTGTGATCATGATGTGCTGCTCATTCACAACTTTTTATTTTATAATTCAATCAACTGCCCCTTGCGGAGCCCCCCCAATTGTTAACTGCTTTTATAGGTCATGTTTCTTTTAAACCTACTTCAATCCCGTCCATTGCAATTATTAGTAAGGGTAAATTTTCTACTTTGTAGCGGTAATTCATAAGAAAAGGAAAAAAAAAACCCCCAAATATTATAGGAAAAAGTGCTAAATATCAACCCTAGCTGAGTTTTTAAAAATAAAAATAAAAATACAAGTGATTGTCTAAGGTGCCATAAAAGTTCAAATCCAAGTTGAGTTTACGTGTTTGCTTGAAGTCTTGGTCTATTGGGTTCAACTTGTTTGAGCTGAGTTTTATCTCGAGTTTGGGTTAAGCAAATTCAACTTGAAGTTGGGATTAATATCAGATTGTGCCTAATCAACTTGATACAAGTCTGGAAAGATGATGATAAAACAAGTCTGGTAACAGCTTTAAATTAAAGTCATCGTTTATCAGCATATATTTCTGTTTATTTTATGATGATGAAGATGATGATAATAAAAGGATGTATAAAAATATATTTCAAAATTTCTGATAATTGTTGAAATACGATGACCAGCCAAAGTACACGATCTTACATATTTTACATTCACCAATCAGAGAGATTTATAAGAGGACTGAGCGCCTCTTTTTATTTATCTCTTCTTCAAATGCTCTTTAATTTGATCATTATTGGCAAATGCCAACACTACCAAGTAACACCAACAAAGTAAATTCTCACTCTTACAAACAGTAACTATAATCACTTCTTTCTTACTGATCAAGCTTCACAAATTAATTTGAAAACCCAACTGGAAAACCATCTTCTTCCTTTCACCTTTCACAGCTCCAAGACTAAGTCTACAGCAAACACAACACAACACAAGAATTAGGATGGTCAAAAGAATAGGCAAAACTTTGATTCACAGTTAATGTAATACTTGATTCATTTTAGTGCTCATTGTTAAGTAAAGGCATTGAGGCACCAAATACTACATTAAGAGCTTAGTGCAGAGTCTACTTACAGTCTGCATCTGTTTTGATCCAGTGCTCCCTGTTCTCATTTGAATCAATGCTGCTAAGCGCGAATTGCGGTGGGTTTGATTGACTCTTGTAGCGCCGCATGCTCTGCTTCAAGGAGAAGCCTCGTTCAGGATATAGCATGATGTCTTCATCTGGGAGCACCTGATCTCCACTGTTGTAAGCCCCATCATTGCTTGTTTTCTTCTTGTTTTCGTTCTTATGGTACTTACCAGTTTTTTGCTCAGCAGATGAGGTTTCAGGGTGAACTTTTCTGTGGAACATGTGAAGGATCTGCAAGCCACACACACACCATAGCCATGAGCCAGGACTATATGGTCTAATTCAGTTCACATTACTCTTTTGATGTGAAAAGTCTGAAATGCATGCACAATGTTTGATTAGAGGTACCTTATTCAGTTTTGTTTCTGCTGAGGAAGGATCTGCAGGTCCACCAGAGCTGCGAGAAGAAGCATAAAGCATTTTTTTCTTGAGCTTCTTTTTCATCAAGTGCATGGCAGACTTTTCAGCTTCCTTCTCTGCTCGCTTCTCCTCCTTGGCCGATTTCGGTCCAGAAATCTCCTCTGCCAATTTAGTCCTCTGAAACAGCTCGCCAAGAGATGTCCTGTGTTCCTTCTTTGCCACTGTTGTTGTTTCTGACAATTCATATGCTGACCCAAATAGATATCCCTGGAGTGGGCACACTGTGGTTCCATTAATCCCATTGCTCTCTGAGCCTTCCAGTGTCTTGCCACTTAGTGTGATGGTGCTACCATGGCTACTTCTTCCATTGCTAACATGGCTGTTTCTTCCAGATGAATCATTGCAAATCTCATCTTTAGCTGAATCAGCTGCCAGCACTTTCTCCAATTCATCATTGATGAGCTTCAATTCATTCTCTGTGACCTCAGTCTCTTTTTCAGTTATGTTCTCCACAGAGATGGCAAGTGTTGGAGTTGATGGTTCCGTGATGACTTGCTCTGAGCCAAGGGTACCAATTGCAAGGAAGCCATGGAAGAGCTCAGATGCTGCAGCAGATGATTCATCTTCATAGTATTCTTCTTCTGCCCTGGCTGCCTCTAGACCGTTGAAAGACTTCCGAAGGTGCTGGTCTCTCTGGGTTTGTTTAAAGGGCTTTGTGCCACAGTTTGGCTTAGGATAGCATTGTTGATCATCGAGAGATGGCTGCCCTGAAAGACAAGCACAAGAATTCTCTGACACAAAGAAGAAAATGTAAACTTGGATGAGACTCAGATTGAGCAAGAACAGAGATTCTCCCACTGCATATCGGTACAAACCTCTCTGTCTCTAATAATGATCTTATGATTTCTAAGTACATATTAGTCTTTTGGTTCCCAAGCTGTTACGCATATGTACTTCATGTGATTTATTTTGGGGCTGTTCTGTTCTAGTCTTAAAAACCATGCAATGGGGAAACTATTGTATTTCACAAAATCCTTGTTCAGACTAATTTCTTTTATTAGGCGGACAAAGTCTTAGTTGCATCCTGTACCGTCTTTCAGGAGTGAAATGATTTATCTGGTTGATTCACAAACTTGCTGGGCATCATTAGAACCCATAATGATGTTTTCTGCCATTATTTTGGTAAACTGCAGTTATACAGGAATGCATAGGAGAAAGGCATAAGGCACCACACGACTTACCAATGACAAAAACTTTAAATGGCTCGTTGCTATTCTGCCGAAACTTACGATGCATCCAACCTAGTAACTGCAACATTGGCATGCAAGATCAACTTATAGATTAGTTGAAACAGTTTTAGCTTATCTAAAGGATAATAAGAGAATAGGCTTTTCTTACCTTCATCTTATGATCTTGTTTAGAACACTTGAGAGCTTTGATCCAATTCTTTTCCTAGGAGAGGTTGACAGAGGAGCTTCTTTTCATTGGTAGTCTTAATGCTTATTTATGAACAAGAGGTCAAATGCCACCTGAAAGCCTCCAGGCTCTGAAGAGCAGGTGAGCAGAGGCGTACACACAGATAGTTACAAACTTGGGCTGGCTATTCTTTGTCAAGATCAAATCAAGTGGACAAATGGCAAGTGGGTCCCGAACCACCAACCCAGTCATGCACATATGTTTATTGTGTGAGATTGATTGTTATAGGGTTTATATTTTATAATCATTTGGTGCGTAATTACATGTCTTTCAGTATACACAATGTTGATGTGTTGTGCACATGTTTTGAAAAACATGTACATCTACACACACACATACACGTATATCTGCTATGTCTTCTCTTTTCTGGATGTGGTGTTTTCTGATGCAACTTTGCACGCCCCGTTTTTGAAAAACATGCATGCCCATATCAGGTGTACCATGTTACATTTGGGCTTTCCACGCTGACATGTTCATCATGCACATGCTTTGGGCAGAGGATAACAAAGTAAGTTTCGTCTAATAATTTCTAGTACTTTGTTATTTTACTAGGAACTTGTGCCAAGACCCTAGATTGAACAATAGGGATTGCAGGGGATATTTTGTCGGACCTCAATGGAGCCAAACATAAAATTCGACAATTAAGTTGATCTTCTTTCTCTGGGGACACAAAACGTCGGACTCTCTACAGTTGGTAGGTCCACAGGTGGAGTTCTAACCGAAAGAGCTTAGCTGATAAACTATGATAAACTGGGATTGCTTTTAACAAGTATCTTCATAAGGTTAAACTTTTTTTTTCTTTTGCTGTTTACAGTCAATATACCATTGAACTCCAAAAAAATCCCATATTCTACCATGTTTGGAGGATATCAGCTTATAAGCTTTGATGGGATTGGTGATTTAATGCAGGTCTGTCTCCACATCTTCCACCGCTGTCATGTTTTCTGTTTGATAGTTCTAGCCGTTCTTGTAAACTAGTTCAAGGTGTTTTCTGTGCTTTTGCAGGCAATGACATTCATTTTTCACCATCATTCTGGCATAAGATTTACTAGAAAAAGAACAAGAAAAAAAAGGTTCCTGCATCAAGTCTTTTATCTCGTCAATATTCCTAAAACCTATTGACATGACTCATGAGATGGCAAGATTGCCACATGTTATCAAGTTGTCCTCCCTCATTATTAACCATTCATGTTCATATACTTGCAAATATCGTTTTCATTAGAAACGCGTTCACTCTCAGAGTTAGAAATGTACATGTGGAACGGGGCCGTTTTGTCCTGGAAAAGTTCCACGAGCATCTACATATATGAATAAGAAGGAGCTGATAAAAACTAAAGGGTTTGAGGGCTTAGAGACAAAGGTAACAGTCTAACAGAAATGTCCTTGATAGGAACCAAAGAAAAAGCATTTTTGTGCAATTTCAGTAATAACTGATAAATGATTAATCAAGGGACAATAATTTCATTGAAGAATCTTGATATGTTTGTAGAAGTAGAAGAATTTGTTTATGTGAAAATGATGGATGCAAACTTGGTCTGTTTCTGTGAAAATGATGGATGCAAACTTGGTCTGTTTCTTTTCCATTGCCTCTGTATTCTGTGGTCTGTGGCAACATGAACAAAATCAAGTGGGGATAACGGATAAGATCATCTCTAGAGCCTAGACGCATCTAGCCATTGTGCTCTCTTAATGTCCAGACGCATCTTTGTCTAATCTCTAAGCATAGGTACCAGCAAGCTAGAGAAAAAGCTTAAGAAGGGTTAATGTCCTCTTTCAATGATTATGTTAATTTTTTCTGTGGCACAAACAAAACCCTTGAAAAATATATTTTCAGATTGATTGAAAATGTTTATAAATAGGGGTAGAGTGGATATCAATCACAAATAATTGCGCTACTGTTAGATTGGCAGTCTCCCTATGTTTTATTTCCATCTACATTGTATGTTGAGATTCCACTTTACTGGTTGATAAGATTTTTTGAATAGCAGGGGACATGGCCGTGGATCGGGTAACTGTTGTTGATAGTGGCTGATTCTTGTTTTTATGATAATAATTCCCAAAACAGTGCTCTGATTCATCTGTTTAATACGTAGGTTATCTTATAAAGCTGGATAGAACAGCAATTGACAATGAGTAATCAGAAGAATGGGATTTGTGGGATAGGTTTATTTTGTATTGCTTTTGTAATATCAACTTCTGTATATGCTCTCAGAGTTGCTTTTGAATAAAATCCATGATTACGACCAAAAAAAACAACTAAATATACCTGCTATAACTATATTCATGTTTTCTTCAATAGGGTTTTTCTTGTGACATGTCTCATAACTATATTTCTCGGGTTAACGACTTTTGTTCGTGAGATTTGAAGTCACCATCTCCTCCAACAAAGTGGAGACTAAAATATCAAATGGTCGTTTTGAAACTGTGCTGCTAGATCAGTGAAGTAATTAAGAAGTTGGGATGATCATGTGACTTGTTGAGGACAAAACAAGACCTCTATTTCTACTGTATGTTTATGTGACTGAGTGCTGGCTGCTCATGCACAACACAACTCATAATCTGTGCCGCCGACAAAGCAAATAAGTTACTCTGGAAAATGAAAGTATTCCACATAAACGTTTGAAAAAGATGGCATTGTCCAAGGTTGCAGGGCCCCAAGTGAACTTGTCTTCTATCTCTTGGGAAGCCTACATGCAGCTAAAATACGAAGTGGTGGAGAATTTTTCTGCTACTGTCATGAGGGGAACCAGCTCTCAAGGAGACACAAAAAATAAAAAATACATAAAATACAGAGCTCCATCCACATCCCCACTTGACCTCTTTTTAATCATTTTTCCTGAAAGCACCTACCAAAAAAGTCCCACTGTCCTGTCCCTGTTTGAGTGTGATACGAAATGCATTTTGTTATTTGGACGGCGTTGTTTGTCTCCATGCCTTCAACTCTTTCTTCACTTTGTGGATTGAAAAAGATGGTGATTAATTTACAAACCTCATGATCTTATCAGATTATCATTTAAGCCAAGTTAATTTCATTGACATCTCCTAGTACTTCGATCATCAATTGCAGATTTTCAGTGTCGACACATTCATTCTTATTTGATCAACTTTTGTTATGAAAAAGAAAGGGTAACTACCTCTACCAGTGCTACTAGATAGATAGATAGAACCATTGAAACAACCAAGATTTGATTCCTTTAGAATCAGCTTTAATGGTTAAGTCTAAATGAAAATGACCACTTCATGGTTCAGAGCTCAGAGCCATGAAGCTACTCACTCAAAATTAGAATATCTTACAGCTCACTGTTGTTCTTAATCTTCTCACAGCTCAATTGAAAATATGGGTGAAATGATAAAACATCTTTCTAGGTTTGACCATCCCTTCATTGCCAGACAAACAACTCAAGGAATGAAGAGATTCTCCCTCTCGTCAACTTTTTTTCCTTTTTTTTCGTTTGAACTTTATTATTTCCATTTTCTCTTATACCCCATTTGATATAAAGAAATTCTACTTTGTTCCTTCCTCTTTTGTGGATCAAGAGCAAGAGGCTTCCTGATGGTATTTGGAACCACTTGCCCAAGGGCCTAACTGAAACAGAGTTGGGTTTAGATTTTAAACCACACTTTACTTCTATTTTCGTTTTCTCCACATTTGTAAGTCTCATAATCAAATGCTTATAAACTATCATTTGTGCCAATATATATCCAATTTAAACTAATTACTTGCAGACGTGGGTTTGGCCAATTAGCTAGTGCAATATATCCGTCCTTCACACCTGAGTTCACTCTCCTTCCCGTAAATTAGAACATAATTATAATAATATAAACTAGTAAGTACTTTGTTAAATTGCAAAATAAAGTACTTTAGTTTAACGAGACCATTTGTAATCTTACCACCTAAATTCAATGACCTGTGTATCATTCTTCAACAAAGCCAACACTACAAGCACTAGAAAAACTTTATTGAAAAGATGTCATCTAGAGTTTAGCATTATTTAATAATAAGTGGGTCTATAATAACAAAGGATTGTGCATTTGGTGGTAGATTTGTTTACCAATTCAAGAATAACGTTGTTTATTTGGTATTCGTTTCTTTCTATCTAATTGTTCCTCCAAACTACATTTTTGAACTCTTTAACATAAATTTGGGCCTTTACTAAATTAGATTAATGATTCATTAAAGGCTCATCTACATTAATGTTCTGGAAACTACGGTCAAATCTCATATTACCCCTCAAAGTTAAAGTCGCCCACTTACCTTGCTTGACTATGGTTTAGTGACCCACTTTACCACCTACCATCAACTCCGTCCAAAGGTCTATTAACTATGATGATGTGGCAAGGAACCTAATAAGGGCCCCACACGCTGCTATTATGCTGCTTCGTGGCAACAGTTGTCTAGCCATGTGTCGCGATCCAACGGCAACAATTCAAAGCATCCTTTTTTCTTTTTTTAATTATATATTCCAATAGTAACCTAAATCAACGATCTAGATTAAATCCAAGCTATTTAAACTGTAAATAAAATAAATAAATAAATAAAGATTCAACGGCTGAAATTTAAATCCAACGGTCAAAATAATATTTTAAATTATTCTAAATCAGATCCAATCCTAAAACTCACTCCAAACTCTATAAATACCCACCCATTTCTCAAATAATCTACAAAAAATATTTTTTCTATTTCTCAATTTATTTTTCCTTTGTTAATTTCATCAATCTCTTTTCATTCTTGTTGAAGATGTCCACAAAATCTCAAAGAGGTGTGAATTGGAGGCCCGAAGAAGATGAGGCATTATGTAAAGGGTGGGTTTTCATCAGTGAAGATGAGGCTACTGGCATCAATCAAGCAAGCGACACATTTTGGCAGCGTGTATATCAAAAATTTCTGAAAAATGATCCAGGCATTAGTGGACCCAAGCGATGAACGTACCAAGCCATTGCTTCTAGATTCAAGACTATCAACTAACAGTGTTCTTTTTGGAAGGCATGCTTGACTAAGGCCAATACGAACTCACAAAGTGGCTCAAATCTACATGATGTGGTAAATACCCATTCTTATTAAAGCTTTAAATTTAAATTTGTAATTTTATTCAACTCCAAATTTAAATTTATTTTTTCATGCCTAGGACGTGTATGCGAAAAGGATCTTTCTTAATGATAATAAGCCTTCGAATAGGCCTTTCAAGCTATACCATGCACGGGAAATCTTAAAAGATTGCCCAAAGTGGAATGATATAAATGAGCCTCTCATACAACGTTCTTCTATAGCTAGTGTAAGTATGGTGAATTTGGAATTATGTTGTGTGTGTTTTTTTTTTGGAATAAAATTATATTTGTAGAATATCAATTTCTTCATTTAAAAAGATTAAATGAAGAAAAGTTATCCATAATATATATATATATATATATATTAGACTTAAATCATTCTTAAACAATTTAATAAAGTTGCGGATTTAAAATTTGAATCTGGAGGGTCGAGAGAAAAAACCGTTTGAGTTCGGACAAAACTCAAACAGTTACTTTTTGGAGGGGGAAATTTGAGTTTAGCCCCAAATTGGTTGGAAGAGCCTAAGTAGGCCACTTTAAGCATGAACAGGCAATATGAGATTTGACCGTAATTTCTAGAGACATTGGTGTAATATAAACCTAAAAAAAGTTAAACAACTACGAGTGGTCCTGACCCCTGGCAACTGTCATTTCTTGTAACAGGAGAGGAGCTTGTGTGTCCTGACCCCTCACTACTCATCTCCTTGTCCATAACCCCATCTTCATTCATTCATATGTAAACCCAACCCAACATTTGTCCTCAAAACTAACAAAATACAACCAGACAAGTCAGCCTCGCGCAAGAACACGACCCACATGTACTACATTGTTCATCTTGTTTCTGTAATTTCATGAAACAAAAGAAATTTCCATGGCTCATTTTCATGAAAGTACCATCTCGAAAATAGCAACTTTTACAAGATTGCCCTAAAAGGGAAAACGAGAGTGCATCCGATTGTTGGAAGAGAGGGAGAAAGGGGCAATTTCGGTTTTTTAAGTTGCTTTTTGTAGGGCTAGATGTCAGAGAAGCATAGGGCACCTAACCCCAAATTAGTAGTGGCCTTGGGAAAATATAAAATGGAAGGGTACGTGAATTATTAGACCTTTGATGGGAAATTTCCGGCCGAAAGGAATCGAAAGGAAAAAAGCATAGAAAACCACATCCTTTGACGTTCAAAAACGAAGAACCCGAATAAAGAAAACAAAAGCTAATAACATCATTAACCCATTTTTAGTGTTAAATAATCCTAATTCCTTTAATTTAATCATCCCCAAAACTCGAAAGCGATTGGCCCACTACCTCACAAATCCAAACCATCGCCACCAAATCAGAAAGCTATATATAAAATAAAAGCTTGGTTTCTAAGCAAAAATAAAGATATTTCCATGCCAAAAAAGAAATAAAGAAATAAAGAAATAAAGAAATAAAGAAATGAACATTTTCATTTGGGAGGGAGGGAGGGAGGGCGTAGGGACATACCTAATATTCGAGCACAAAAATAACCTAACCCACCAAAAATATAATACTTTGGTTCTCTCCTCTTTCTCTTTTTTGAGGCTCGAAAAATTAAAGAAATAAAAGAAATTCAGAGATTTTCCTTTTCTTTTTTCTTTTTTTTATTGGAAGCTAGACATTCGGACTCCAAAGGTTCCACAAACGAGAATTAAACAGGCCCAACACGTCCGGCAACACTTTCCTAGCCAATCCCCTGTGGTTGCTCGCCGATGCCGTCCGTGCAATCATCGCCACGTCATCCGCCGTCTCCGGAGGCTCTAAGTTAACCTCCGCGCCCAAGTCTTCCACTTTCCCGTCATTTTCTTCTACCCCATCCGCTTTCTCATTCGAACCCACCAAAACCACGTCGTTTTCCGGCAACAGAGCAGAAGCAGAGCTTTCAACGGCAAGCTCATGTGAAACTTGAGCGTTCTCTTCCAGAAAGATAGAATCTTGGGCAGCAACATCGACTGGTTTCGGGGCCTCGCGACGGCTCAACTTGTCTCTTCTCTTGCCTCTGCCGCTGTTCTTCTTGGTCTTCTCGCCGTTGGCCAGGTGATCTTCGAAGGCTTCGATGGCTTGGTGGATGAGCTCGCGGTTGGGGGAAGAGTCCCATTTGAACCAGTAGCTTCTGTAGCAGTCGAAGCAGTCGCAATCGAACATTGGGGGCTGGTGGGTGCTGGCGCTGGTGGACTTGGGGCCTTTCTTGGAAGATTTCTTCTTGGGGTCTTGGGCCGGGATCGAAGAAATATTGGGGGTGGTTTTCATGGACCGGGTTATCAAGTAAGCCAAGACCTCGCGGTCCTCGAGGGAGAGGACCGAAGCCAGAGCTAAAATGGCAGCTGGGAGGAGCTGAAGCACAGAGAGAACAAACCCATCAGAGTTGGATGAGGAGGAGGAGGAAGAAGAAGGAGATGGGTGCACTTTGCCTTTGTTCTTTATCTTCATGGTGTTTGATGATTTGCTTGTGTGGAAGAGAGAGTGGTAGGTGATGAAGCTGGGTAGGGATTTTGGGAAAAAGATGAAAACTTTAGAGAGATAGAGAGAGAGATGGAGAGAGAGGGTAATGAATAGTTGTGGGGTGTTTATCAATTAATTTTTATATTTTTGCTTTGAAAAGAAGAGTGGGCTGTCAAGGCAGGACAGTAGTACGTCGAGCAGAGCAGAGAGGTCACCGTTCCTTGTTTTTCAGGTTAACTAGCTTTTCTGTACTCGCGGGGGCGCGTTTCCTGGTTTTTCTTCTTTTGGATGTTAAATTACAACGACACCCTTCAATGCTTTACAAGAGGATCAATTATTAAATATTTGGGTAACAATGAATATTTGATAGGGGCAACTTGTGAACACGGTACTAGTAAATGAAATTATATCATCTAGACTCGTGTTGCAGTTTTTTACTCTACTAATTCGCATCATTTGCATTTACAAACATGGTGCCAGTCGATCAATTGATAGCATAAGCTAGTTACTGGCCTACGGTTAACTACATGATAGAATTGATTAGTTAATCAATTCGTTTACGCATAGTTTCGTGAGATGTTGTCAATATGGAGTTGCCCGTGACACTTTAAATAAGTTATTTGATATTTTTCTCTTTCCTTCACATGTATCAATCTATGTCTAAACCACAAAATTTCATTAACTAATGTTGTCTCTTAAATGAAGTGTTCGAAAATAAAGAAGATTAAAATGGTAAAAGATATGTTCCATCAGTCTAAAGAAGAAGTTTATTTATTATTATCATGTTTATGTAGTTTCATTTTTAAATTTTAGATCATTAATTCGTAGTTGGCATTTACACGATAATAATCAAACATATGGATTAATCGGCGCCATTCCTCTCCTCAACAATTTGAACTGTTTAATTAATTAGCAAGCAATTTATGTCTTCCTTTATTTAACAAAATAGTGGGGAGTAACATAAAAGTATGCAAGCTAAATCTGATTAAGTCTAGAGAAAGGACAAAGTCATAGGATATATGCATCCAAATAAATATGATGGGGGCAACACATGTCAAACATGTATTGAAAATAAACTTTTGAATGCTCGATTGGTCACCACTTTATTTACGCGCGTGGCTTTGTGTTGCGGTTTGAATGAATTGGAAAGGTTTACCTGCCCCATCGCCATTGTGACGGGACTGCCCCTATCTGGGTTTTGATCCTTTTTGTCACAGAGCTAGATGTAACTTTTTACTTTATGGGTAAAAGAGTCATTTCAGCACCCGCGCCGAGGATAAGGACAAGTGGACACCCGACCAGAAGTACTATTGGAGGCGTCAATTGAGGTGGTGTGGCTACGGAGGGTATTGAATGGGATCTTCTCTCCTCTATCCTTTCCTTTCCCCCTTGAATCTCATTCGTTGGAACTTAGTAAAAACAGATCAACGGCTGATATTTTTTTATTTTCTTAAAAGAACACTATTTGATTACAGCTGTTAAAATCATAGCGGGCCTTTTTTAACAAAAAAAATTAAAGACAAAAGATTACTTTTGGCCCTTATAGTTTTTCGATTTCACTACATTAGCCCATATATTTTCAATTTCGTTAAGTTTATGTTTGTAGTTTCAATCAGGGCAACTTGAAGGACAAATGAAGAACTATTTCAATTGACCCAAGTGGACCAAAGTACTTCTCTTCGTGAGGGCACATGATCAAAACTTACCAATTGATAGTGATGTAGAACATATGGTTGAAGTGATGGAAGATGAGATGGAGTGTAGCGAGTGAAAAGACAAGACCGGTAAATAAGTTTTGGTTTTCGAGTTCTGATTTCGACTCATGACCTACCGTTTCAAAGAGAATGACACCATAAGTAAACTCATTACTTTGCCATGAAGTATAAGCTTTTTTGAGCGTTCGAAATAGTTTAACATCACAAACGTGCCTTTTTATTATTTTTCCAGTGTTTGAAAACCTTTATTAATCTCTCTTTTAGTACCCTTTTTGTTTCCTAGAGTTTATCAACTTTGGCCCGTGGTTAGGGCATCATGTTATCATTTTGAAATTAATAAGATTGAGGTATTCTCATCTCTAGTGAATTCCATGCTTAATTTTGTTAGGTAATTGCGTTGTCACGTTGCATCATATAAAATTTTTGACATAAATTAAAATGTGTCTTGAAACTGCTTTGAATTGAAAACACTACATTAATAAACTATGGGGTTCAAATTGACAAACTACAATAAACTATGGGGTTCAAATTGGCAAACTACAAGAGCCAAAAACAACTTTTACCAATAACAAAAGAAAAAAACTATTCATGCCAAAAATAAAAGAAAAAACTATTCATGGGCCTTATTGATCACCAGGCACTCTTCCCCGGATCATTTACGTTTTTAACCATTCAAACTTGTGACTGCAGTTTGGATTGCGATTTAGATAAAAATTCTGGTTTGGAGTGGGTTGAGAGTTTAAATCCTTGTACCCTATCGGGATTTATAGCTGCGGTTGGACTGGCAGGCTCAAAAGATTCTGTTGGTTGGTCGACAACAACACAAATTTGAACTTGAAAAATGGGCAAACCACCTTTGCTTTTCTTTAGTTAAATATACCTCAGCAGGTGAGACATCATCAACAAACGTAGTTATACAAAACTAACTTCCACAGATCAACAAGCCACATCATGTTCGGCAAATTGATTAAGTTAAGATGCAGTATTCTGCTAACAAAAACAGTATTTATAACCATGACCGCGAGAAAACCAAAACTCAAGCAGCTTTCTTATCTGAAACTGGTTCTGATTTATTTGCATCTGCTGCAGAGCGCTTGTCTTCTGCCATCTTGGCATGAACTTCATCCCTCTCCTTGAAGTACCTCTCGAACGCCCTCGGAAGGAACCGAGGGATCAAAAACCCGAACAGGTTGATGGAGAAATATAGGAAATTGGCTAGGGCCAAGGTCCTCCCAAACCAAAACCATGCAGTGTCCTACAATTACAAGTACCCCAAATAAGAAAACCAATTAAGAACCACGAGAAATATGATTCTAATTTACCTTGAACTGTGCATTGGCAGGCAGGGTTTTGTTGAGCCAAACATCTCTGGTCCAATCGAGGATGACAAAGATTCTCCTGACAGTGTAAAGTAATGGGACCAAAGCTCTCACCGGCGGCGAAAACAGCGACAGCCCGCTGATCACATTCTCAGTCAGAATCTGAAACGAGAGCAAGAACAAGTGGGGTGTTGCAGAGCGCACAGCATGTTCGTCACCCCTTGCAAAGCCACCCAGCACATATGCAAGCGGCAAGAAAAGCCCAACGGTGGTGCCCACGATCACATAGACCCTGAAGAATCTGCTGCCTTGGAAAATCTCCTGAGAGCTGGAAGTGACGGTGCCGTGTGCCGGGAAGGCCAGGCGAGACAGGGCTAACAGATAGGCAGAGGCAAAAGCAGGGAAGATCAAATCAAAGAGCGGGACAAGGCCACTGGCTGAGAAGACCATGATGAAGGCCACGAGTTGGAGCTCAATTACCCGCAATGAGCCCATGACACCGCCAACAGCAGCCTGCTGTTGTTGACGGTGCTGCGGTTTCTCTTGCGAGTTAGATCCGGGTTTTGTAGTTGTTGTACCAGGCTCCGTTCTAGGAGCCACAGCAAGAGACACACCTGACATGTCTTTTTTGTGTGTGGAGATGTTTAGAGATTTTAATCAGACTAGCTTGGGAAGATTTGTTAAGTGTCTTACTGGTGATACTTCTTGAACCTGAACAAGATGGAAACAAATTGACCCAATTCACATTTACAAGAAGAAATGAGGCAAATCTTAGCAGTGCATCAATCAGCGATTTCAATGTTAATTATTTGAAGGGCCATAAATGGTAAGCAATTAAAAAAAAGTTTCAACTAAGGATTTAACTTGGGTTAATCAATACTTTCCACACAAAATTATCACCCGATCCAATCAAGAAAGGCTAACAATCTGAAATGCAATGCAACACATTCATACATACAAACTATAACTGCCTGCAATATATAAACAGTTGTTGTTATTGAAATTCTTGAAAGAACATGAAAGAGTTTGAGAGAGAGATCTTACTGAAGATGAGGGATGAGTGAGAAGGAAATTAAAGCAAATGATTCATTCAAAACCAAAACGAAAGCCTCCGAATGAAAAGACGAGGCATCAGATCAGGGGAGAGAGGCCGAGTGCGTGCGCATACGTGGAAAAACGAAAGGACACAAAGGCAAGGCATGCCTCTCTCTACTTACTCTTCTCCTCTGTTTGTACGTGTAATATTCTGCGCACGACACTTGGTTTCGTGCAAACGCCGGACTGAATTTGGGCGACACGTGTCCAAGACCATGGCATTGTGCCGCTTTGATATGGATCAGGCAGTATTTAAAATACAAATTTATAAATAAACTCAATCCTAGACATGTATTTATAAAAAAACCCAAGCACTATTTAAACATAGAAACACACCCAAAATTAACCTCAAAGTCAACTTTTTGGGTGTGTTTATAAATAGGTTTTGAGTGTGTGTAATGATGGGTTTTGGGTGTGTTTATATGTTTAAATAGTGTTTGGGTTTTTTTATAATTTCAACCCCATTTTAGGTGTTTTAGTGAAACTCAATATTTAAAATCGGTCTGGAACCATCTCTTTCTCTTTTGATTTTCCTTGTTTGCTACGATGGGCCAAGGCCCATAGAAACAATGCCAACTAGTTTGGCCTGACAATCTATTTTTCAGTGGAAAAGGTGATGTTTCTAATTAATTCACTTATGCGATAAATTTGTGCAGGTGTGAGTTATGTTAGTTGAATAAGAAATGTTAACTATAACATACAAACAATAATAAACTATTTGAAGGGCACTTAGCTCCCTTTGTTTTTATTTTTTATTTCATAACCATCGGTTTGTGGAAGGAGTAAGATATTGGCAGGATAGCAATGGCAATTATACACAAGGAAGGTTTAATGTCAGGCACAAATGCACATTTATGATATTTTTTATTAATTCGTAATTGAATGAGGATGAATTAAATAGAGGAGAGTTAGAATCTGAATTCTTATTGAAATTATTTACTAAATCATATGGAATTGGAGTAGAAGTGGTACTGATTCCTTATAAGTTGTTTACAAAATTACCATGAATCAAAATTGAAATCCATTTTGATTACTAGAATGCAATTGTTGTTGGGTTAAAGTAGATGACATATTTATAATTTTAAAATTTGTGTGAGAATATAATAGATAAAAAAGATAGATTTCTGATGGGTTAGCTCTAGAAATTAGAATATCACTTCTCACTCAAGAGTTCAATTCCTCCAAAATCAGGAGTTGAATTCATGATTTTGTGTGGGGGGCACATACATTTTCATTCCAACATGTGAAGTAAACATCAAAGTAATCCGTAATAGGAATTCAAATTCTTATTTTGATTCCGATTATGGATTAGTAGGGGCTCGTTTGGTATCATACTAAAAAAAATAAGCTCAAAAAATAATGATTTTTTATTATAACAAAACATGAGTTTTTAAATAGGTGCCAGGTGTTGAGGCCCAAAAAATCCACGGTTCGGCCCAATGCGATACCTTACCGAGAAGAAACCCGATTTGGGCACATGAAAGTTTTTTATATGCGCTTGCATACATGCCATGCCAAGCAAATAAGCAATACACCACGCTACAAGCTTAAGTGAGCTTAAGCCACGCAAGATGCCCGGGGCTTGCTTGAGTGAGTTATGGTAAGGATGGTAATAAGTTAACATGAGGCCCATTGATGGACCGAGAAATGGAAGTCCTAGGGTTGCTTGAGAGCCTCAGAACTCAAACCCATTTCTTAAGCCCAAACATGTGGGTGAGCACAAAAGAGAAAGTAGCCCAACCAAAATAGCCCATCACTTCAACCAAACTAGCCCAATACTCGTTGAAGTTAGCCCATTTGCTTGATAAACCAACTTATTGTCCTAGAAGACCCAAGCAACCCAAGAAAATATCTACAAATCTCTAGCACCTAGCTGAAAACAAAAGCCACGATGAAAGCCAAAATAGCCATGTCAGTGAGCTACTGGGAGGCTCCAGCATAGAGGAGGGAACAAGTTTCAAGCAAAATATCCAAAAAACCAAGGGATACGTGAGCAAAACACCCTTCAAACCAGTGTACATACCCATTTCTTTTCCCCCATCAGATCTAGCCATAGAAGAGGGAAGAAAAGAAGGAAGAAAGATGGCCGAAAATGGGAGTTCTCCACTGAGGTAGCTGCATGAAAGAGTATTGAGCTCTTAAAAATCCATGATTTTGTGAAAATGGGCAGAGTGAATTTCACCTAAATATGATGATTGAAGGGATGAGGGGAGAAAGGAAGGGAAGACTTGGCCAAATTAGATAGAAACCATTAGAGTTTCTTGAAAAATTATAGCTTCCAACACCTATAAAAAAAAAAGGCATTTCCTACCCCATCATCACAACATACATCTAGAGAGCAAGTTTCATCTCTCATCTCTGAAACTCTGCAATTTCGTGCCCTTTTCCTCCATCTCCTCCCATTTTCTCTTCTGGCAAGCCATTCCAAAGTCTGACATAGCTTTTGTCAAGCTGCTGAAAAATTACCCAAAACACCCTCTTCTGGCAGGCTGTTCTAACACTTGACAGAGCCTCTGTCAAGCTGTCAGAAAAACACTCAAGCCACCCTTTCCTTTTCCTTTCCCTCATTCTCAGCCAAACCTTCATGCAGACCCTTCTTCTCTTACCTTAACACCCCATTTCCCCCCCAAGAACGCATAACTTTCTCTTCAGTGCTAAACTCATGTCAATTTTGCTCCCATGCCACAAGCCTCTCATACCAAGCTAGAAAATCTATCTGTAAGCTGTTGTTATTTTTGTTGATAAATGTAACCAATGTGTTTTCTAAGGTTTCACTGTCCTTTCGAAACATTCTTGAGGCTTGATCTTTGAACTCAGGCTCAAGGGGCAATTTCATCAAGTTTGCTATTTACGGCAGCCCAAACCCATAGTAGCTACCGGAACGAAAAAGCCCCTACACTAGGGAGGAGAGAGAGATCTGGGAAACCAGTAAGTGTGAAACTAGTAGGTCCCGACGATGAGATATGGGAGCAGGTTCAAGTTAGGTCGGGCTTTGGGGAGATGAGACAGAGAGAAAAAAGAAAGAAAGTAAAACGTCGCTTCTTTTTTTAAAAAATTGGGCATGTTTTAAGTTTTTTTTGAGTTGGCCTTTTGAAAAATGGACTTCACCAAACACTAATAATGGGCTCTGGACTCAAAATTTGTTTTTACATTTGAAAAAAATGGATCCAGTTAGGATACCAAACAAGCCTTAAACGTGCTATTAAAAGAAATATTAAAGGCTAATCTTACAGCAGCATATCAATCAATGATTTCAATGTTAATTATTTGAAGGGCCATGAGTGGTAGCAAATATTTAAGCGATCACATAATTAATTTCTTGTCACTCCATTGCAATGGCAGCAATGTGCCTAATTAATTTCTAATCTTCACGTGGTTTTCCTTTGAGAAACTGTCCATTGTTAAATAGGGGGGAAAAAAGGAGACAATTGAAGAGAAGAAAGAGGTGAAAGATCAAGAGGTTTTGAAGCATGAAGGCTGTTAAGTGGTTAAAGAAAAAAAGCTTCGGGGGATATGAACGCGTCCCCTTAATAAAAGAAGAGGTTGGCAATGTATCAGAAAAGAAAGAAGAGGTTTGACACTCAATAATGGTTTTGAATACGTAGGAAGTGCAATATTACAATTTTTTTAAAAGGTATATTTTAATTCTTTTTATTTTATTTTTAAATTTTTAATAGTGGTGCAAATTTGTTGAGCTAGAGTTTACCAAGCACTGTGAAGGTTGTATAAGAGATGTGAAAAAATGCTGCAAACAAACGAAAGGTACAAAATGCCTCCTTTTTTTTTCAATTTTTTGTTGTTTCCTCTCTCTCTCTCTCTCTCTCTCTCTCTCTCTATATATATATATATATATTTATTTTTTTTTTTTTTTTTTTTTTCTGTGTCGGGGTTA